CACAAAGAAATGGAAAAACGTTCCATGTTCATGGATTGGAAGAACAAATATTGTGAAAATGTCTATGTTACCTAGAGCAAATCTACACATTTAAGGCAATCCCTATGAAAATACCATCAACTTTTTTCAAAGAAATGGAACAAATAATCCTAAAATTTGTATGGAACAGAAAAGACCCCGAATTGTTAGAGGAATATTGAGAAAGAAAAGCAAAGCTGGTGGCATCACAATTCCGGACTTCAAGCTCTATTAGAAAGCTATAATCATCAAGACAGTATGGTACTGGCACAAAAACAGACACATAGATCAATGGAACAGAAGAGAGAGCCCAGAAATGGACCCTCAACTCTATGGTCAACTCATCTTTGACAAAGCAGGAAAGAATATCCAATGGAAGAAAGACAGTCTCTTCAACAAATGGTGTTGGGAAAATTGGACAGCCACATGCAGAAGAATGAAACTGGACCATTTCCTTACACCACACACAAAAATAAGACTCAAAATGCATGCGCAGCCCCGCTGCTCTGGGTTTCAGTCTGGGGGGCTGCTTTCCCTGTCACTACAGATGTAGTGAGAAGAAGGATCCAATGTTCATAGCAGCAATGTCCGCAATAGCCAAACTGTGGAAAGAGCCAAGATGCCCTTCAACAGACCAATGGATAAAGAAGACGTGGTCCATATATGCAATAGAATATTACTCAGCCATCAGAAAGGATGAATACCCAACTTTTGCATCAACATGGATGGGACTGGAGAAGATTATTCTAAATGAAATAAGTCAAGCAGAGAAAGTCAATTATCATATGGTTTCACTTATTTGTGTAACATAAGGAATAGCATGGACGACATTAGGAGAAGGAAGGGAAAAATGAAGGGGGCGAAATTGGAGGGGGCGGATGAACCATGAGAGTCTATGGACTCTGAGAAACAATCGGAGGGTTTTAGAGGGGATGGGGGTGGAGGGATGGGTTAGCCTGGTGATGGGTATTAAGATGGCACATATTGCATGGAGCAAAACAATGGTGTTATACGAAAACAATGAATCATGGAACACTACATCAAAAACTAATGAGGTACTGTATGGGGACTAACATAATAAAATTAAATTAAACTTAAAAAAATAGTCTCAAAATGGATGAAAGACCACAATGTGAAAGGAATCCATCAAAATCCTAAAGGAGAACACAGGCAGCAACCTCTTCAACCTCAGACACAGCAACTTCTTGCTACACACATCTCCAGAGGCAAGGGAAAGAAAAGCAAAAATGAACTATTGGGATTTCATCAAGATAAAAAGCTTTTGCACAGCAAAGGACAGTCAACAAAACCAAAAAACAACCAAAAGAATGGGAGAAGATATTTGCAAATGACATATCAGATAAAGGGCTAGTATCCAAAATCTATAAAGAACTTATCAAACTCAACACCCAAAGAACAAATAATCCAATCAAGAAATGGGAGAAGACATGAACACACATTTCTGCAAAGAAGACATCCAAATGGCCAACAGAGACATGAAAAAGTGCTCAACATCACTCAGTATCAGGGAAATACAAATCAAAACCACAATGAGATACCACCTCACACCAGTCAGAATGGCTAAAATTAACAAGTCAGGAAATGACAGATGTTGGCAAGGATGCAGAGAAAGGGGAACTCTCCTACACTGTTGGTGGGAATGCAAGCTGGTGCAGCCTCTCTGGAAAACAGTTATGGAGGTTCCTCAAAAAGTTGAAAATAGAGCTACCCTATGACCCAGCAATTGCAGTACTGGGTATTTACCCCAAAGATACAAATGTAGTGATCCGAAGGGACACATACATCCCAATGTTTATAGCAGCAATGTCCACAATAGCCAAACTATGGAAAGAGCCTGATGTCCATCGACAGATGAATGGATAAGGAAGATGTATATATACACAATGGAATATTATGCAGCCATCAATAGGAATGAAAGCTTGCCATTTGCAACGACATGGATGGAACTAGAGGGTAGCATGCTAAGTGAAATAAGTCAATCAGAGAAAGACAAGTATCATATGATCTCACTGATATGAAGAATTTGAGAAACAAGGCAAAGGATCATAGGGGAAGGGAGGGAAAAACGAAACAAGATGAAACCAGAGAGGGAGACAAACCATAAAAGACTCTTAATCTCAGGAAACAAACTGAGGGTTGCTGGAGTGGGGGGTGGGAGGGATAGGGTGGCTGGGTAATGGACATTGGGGAGGGTATGTGCTATGGTGAGCACTGTGAATTGTGTAAGACTGATGAATCACAGACCTGTACCCCTAAAAGAAATAATACATTATATGTTCATTAAAAAAAAAAGATTTTTTTTTTTTTTGATAGAGAGACAGCACAAGCAGGGGGAGTGGCAGGCAGAGGGAGAAGCAGGCTCCTTGCTGGGCTGGGAGCCCGATGTGGGACTCGATCCCAAGACTGCAGGATCATGACCTGAGCCAAAGGCAGACGCTTAACCAACTGAGCCACCCAGGAGTCCCTGAAGCCTGTTTCTACAGACCCAGAACACCAGGGCCTGGAACCAAGCGAAGTGTGCAGTAAGTTATCACGTTTGGTTCCTCTCCTGACTGGCAGGTCCCATTTATAGATTCTTATCAGAAGCTGGACATGAACCAAGCTTTGGTTAAAAGAGGGTCCTCACCATAAATGCCCACAGGGTCTAAGCCTAAAAGGTGAATCAGTGAAATGTTGGGTGAAAGACAATGGGGAATGGAGGAGATTTGGGCAAATGGAACAGCATAAGTCCTATCTCAGTGGCAGCTGATTCTCACCTCACCGAGAATGTAAATTCAGTACTATCACAGCCTTGCTTTTTAAGGAGAAAACAGAAATCCAGATTTTTATGTGCAAATGTCTGAGTTTTAAATGCCATCAATGAATCTAAGTTTAAAAACAAAACAAAACCATGAGAAGCCAACACCCCAGTTCTGAAGGCCACATTCTGTCTGCAGGGGCCAGCAAATCCTGGCTTAGACACGGTATGCCTTCAACAGGTGGGATTTAGCTCTGCGGGAAGGCTCAAGTCTCCGTGGTGACTAGGAGGAAAAGGGTGTGAGCTGGTGGAACAGTGGGCAGGGCTTTCTCCCCAAGGATCTCCTTCCACCTGAGACAAACCAGTCCAAAGCTGCTGCCCAGCAGAAGCATGGCCATGGCTCTGAGGGCCTGGGGCCAGATCTCTGAAGTTGCTGCTGTCAGATCCCACTGCCCTGGCCCTGGGGGCCAGCACAGCCCAGCACACTGAGGGCCCCAGGTGACAGTGCTGCCGATACCTACCACATATGATGGGAGTAAATATGGCCATGCCTTGGTACTGCTGTTTAGAAACAGTTTTGTTCAAGATGAGCCCTCCAAAACTGGGGAGAGAGTAGAGGGCAAATGGTTAGTTTACCCTTGTAGGTGACCTGGTACACCTCTATACAAAATGTTTTATCAGCCTGCCTTCTCAGCTTAGCAAACACTTTCCTGCCCCCTACACAAAATATCTGTTGTAGCCAAGCTGGTCTCCCCAGTGTCCTCTGCACTAGGCGTGCTCGCTTCTCCACCTGTATTCTGAGCCTCAGCTGTTCCAGAAGACCCATCAGATAATGTCAGCCCATTAAAAACAAATGACAAACTCCCCTCCAAGGCCACTTAGCTGGCTGGGCTCTGCCACGTGACCCATGCCCTGAAATGTAACTGAAATGTTAGTTTCCTGAGCAGAAAATGGAACCTGCATGAGTATCGTCCCATGCTGCTTGTTCTCAGAGATGCCACAACAAGACCTCACTCCCACCAGCCCCTGTAGTTTAGCAAAGGCTGCCCTGCCGCTACAGCCCTGGAAAAGTTAGACCAGTTTGTATAAGGAGCCCAGGAGCTTTCTGGAAGCAAAGACACCTAGCCCATAACCGCTTCTCCCTGAGATTCAAGGTTAGGAAAGCACCTCAGAAAAGACTGGGGTGGCCCCTGTCCAGGTCTACTAACAGAAAGGGCTCTGGAGGATCAGGTTTCAAGGGTAGAAGACCTGAGATGAGCTGAAGGGCCCAGGGCCAATAATCCCTCAGCCTCCCAGGTCCCACCGGCAGCCATGCTGTAGAAATGGTGTTCACAGAGCCAGGTAAGGGGCTCCCTACAGCCTAAGCAGGGGTCCAGGCCAGTGAGAGCTCTGGCAGCACGGGAGCGGGAGACCCAGTGTCCTGCAGCGCCACGAGGGGGCAGGGAGTGGAAGCACTAGTGCACCCATCTGATGTTCCCAGGTTGGCTCTGCCTGGCTCTCTGGTGCTCCTCCAATTGTAAATAGGGCTGCCTCTCAGAATAAGTAAGGCCTAAGTTTCCTGGTGAGAGGGAAAGAGATGAAGAATAAAGAGGTATGACTCAACCAGCACCAGGACTTAAGGGAGGAGCCCACAGCAACCATGAGTGCCGCCCTCACTCCAGAGGTTCTGCGGCTCTCAGGCCACTCTCCCTGTCCACAGAAGCCACGGGTGGTGTGTGAAGGGAGAAGTTGATGGCAGCCCTCGCTCATGCTCACCTGCTGATGACCATCGCTAGGATGATTGGGAACCACCCAAACTTCAGGATCTTCATGATGGGTGGGTTCTGCTTGGCAATGAGGACCCACACGGGGATCAGGGCCATGAAGCCAATACACACCAGCGGCGTCAGATATCGGTTGTCTGTGGGGAGAGGGAGGGGATGCATGCCAGGGCACATGAGCATGGCCTGCTGGGCCATGGCCTGGGTTGCAAAGGTGAGGGGTGGGCTGAGAACTAAAAGCACTAGAGGTCTGAGGAGACACTTCTGTCCCCAGCAGCTTAGAGTGGGCCAACCTAATATACCTCTCAAAGAATTTGTACCATCTCATGAAGCAACTGGAAAAGCTTCTTTGTCCTCAATTCCTGTCACAGTCCCCTTCACCTTTCTTTTTTGCTATTTTCCTGACATAAGTACCCTCTTCCATCTCCTCCCATGCCAACCTAGTTATTATTATTAATGGTGGCATTTATAGGATTGTGACCATGGGCCAGCACCGTGCTCAGCACTTCCCAAGCACAAACTCATTTCACATTCTCAACTACCCCTCAGATAGGCATATGAGAGACTACAGAGTGAAGAGGTAGCCCACGAGGACTCGAGCCAGCATGCAGAAATCAGGGCTAATGCCAGAGTTAACTAATGATGCCAATCCTGCTTCTGGCTGAGGCCAGCCCAAGGTGACCTCCTTGGCATCCATGGGTCTCAGGGCCCAGAACATGGACAGCTTTGCAGCTACTCATGCCCATGTCATTTTCTTGCACTGGTGTGAGCCATGAAAACACACCTGAATCTGGGACACCTGACTGTACCTCAGGTCCAGCCAGGGCCCAACACACACCAGCACCATTCCCACTCACACTCTTCCTGCTTATTCTCTGTGTGTCACTTTCCAAATGCACAAAGAACAAGACACCAGCTTTCTCTAGAACTGTCTTCTCACCCCCTAGCCCTACCTCCAAAGGGCAGGCTTAGGCAGGGTGGTGCACGCCCCTCTGCAGAGTGGGCCTCAGCACTTAGAGGTGTGCAGGTGGGTCTGCGCCCCACACCCCCTTTCTCTGAGCAGCATCATTAGGAGCATCTCCCACTTGTCTTTCTCTGCACTAGGCAATTATGGTCCATTCCTTTCCTTGAGCAACTACAAGGAAGGGCGGGCCACAGGTGCCCATGGTGGGCTCTGGACAAAGTGCTCCATGGCAGAAGTGGCCAGCCTCTTCACCATCCCAGGAGATGAGGGACAAGCCCAGCAAGCTCTAAGCAAGTCTCGAAGGCTCTGGAAGGCAGCAGCCTATAGGGGCACTACTTGCGGGACAGTTTTGCAGTCCAGTTTTTCTAAAATGACTTGGAAGCCCTAACAGAAGTTCCACCTCATATTTTCCCACCACCATGATGAGTACATCCCCCCGCATATGGCTTGTCTTCCCAACTGCACTGACAGGTGACACAGTCGTCAGTGAAGATTTATCCGATACACACCAGGCCCAGTGAACCCCCCAAGCACACCTAAGGTGTAGTTACAGTCTAATTTGAGAGATGGACAGCCCAACACTACTCAACGGCTAGTAAGTCATGTGTTGAAACGTGCACTATTTCAGTAGGGGTACAGCAGGGTGGAGAGGAAGGGTGTCGGGACACCTATAAAACTCCATTAACCAACCCATACACAAATCTTATTTTATAAATTCAGTTTGGTTTAAAAGGAAAATTAGGTCATCTTATCATTGATCTTCACTGCCACTTACAGGAACTTTGAGAATCTCCCAACCATTAAACATTGGTGGCAAGCATATCCCGGGGTGGCAAGGAGCCAGGCCCAAGGCTGAGAGGGAAAGGTTTCCAGGGCCTGAATACTCTAAGTGGCAGGTACTCTGTCAGTATGCTTCAGATGCCATCATGGAGATGCTGGGTGATCTCTCATGATCCTGGGTCCACATTCCCACAGGGCAATGCTAAGCCGGGGCTTCAGTGCAGCTGTGCCTTTGTCCAGGCATTTCCTCCAGTGCTCCCCACTGTCCTCTTCACCATCTGCACCACTCACTGATGCCACCTGCCCCCCCCAGCACTCAGGGTTGTGACCATGCTCAGAATCCACACTTACTAGATCCAAACAACTGCAGGTGGCCAGCTTAGGTGGAAAGTAACAACTGTGACACTCAGAGGGGAGTGGTCAGCTGTGGAAACCCAGCAGGTGAGAACCATCTGGCAAGGGGGATGCTGCCTGGCCACACTGCCCAGGGCATGAACAAACCTAGGTACTCCCAGGACACACCTGGGGAGACCCCTGGTGGAGTCAGGGCCTCTAGCCATGAAGGCCCGTCATACAAGATGTGTGACTGTCTCCCTCGGCTGCTGACCAGGGCACTGGACCACCTTCTGAGGAGCCCTGGGCTCCTCACACCTTTGGAGGGACCATATACTGCTGCTGCCCATGGCTGTGACACTGCTGCTTGGGAGTCCCTTCCCGGGTGGTTTGTATGTATCCAACGTGAACTGCCTTCCCATGGAGCTCTGTTAGCCTCCAGTCCTCCCTGGCCTCCTCGTGCACCCCTGTCCTAAGGGGGACACAGACAACATATCTGTTGACCCGAGTTGTTGGGAAAGCTTCAGATACCTGCTAGAGAATACCTCAAATCTGCTGAATGACCTCAGGCTTTGCCTTGGGAAAAGTAGGATTTCTGACCCCACGACAGACCCCATAGGTTCCTTTCTGTGTGAGGGGTGCCTGATCTGAATGCTGTGGGCTGGGTACGGATGTCAGACCCAGCCCTGCTCGTGGCCCCCCCCTTCCTGGGGCACCCCTACCTTTGTGTTTGTAGAAGAAGCTGCTGACAAAAGCCAGAAGGGACAATGTAGTGAGGTCTCCCAGGCTGGCAGCAATAGGCGTGGCAATGTTGTCTGGGTTGAGCCCGAGCTTCCGAGCGCCAATCACTATACAAACCATCAGCATTCCTGCGGAGAGGAGACAGAGGAAACTCAAAGCACAGGATAAGAAGGTGGCCATGAGGCTGCTCAGTAATGCCTCGATCCACATAGACCGAGCCTGGAGCCAGGCTGCCCTGACTCTCAGTTTCACTGCTATGCTGGAGCCTGAGAATCAGGCAGTGGCAGTGGGAGGTGGGGGGGGGGAGGTGGACCCCTGTGACAGGCTGCAAAGAGCAGCCTGAAAGCTTTGATGATACACTCAAACCCATGGGGGAGATAGCAGGGAGTTGACTCCCAGACTCCCCAACACCTGGGACTACAGACATGAAGCTCACAGCCCCTTACTGCAGGAAAGAGGACTCCAAAACTGCTGTGAACGATGGAGTCCCAGGGGCAGGGCACGGCCTCTTGTGTCCACTGGAGTCCCCAGGGAAACAGGTACCTTGGTGGGATTAGCAACGTGAGAGGTTTGTTAGGGGCAAAGCCTGTGAGGGGAGAGTTGGGGGCAGGGGAACCAGGAGAGCCACAGAATGGCGCACAGGGTGCCCAGGGTGGGAGAGGGGGAGGGTAGGAAGGGGAAGCAGGTGCAGACTGCACTAAAGTACTGTCAGTGGGGCCACATCTCTGGGGAACAGGGGAGCCCAGCAGGGCCACCACTAGGTGCAGGCAGCAGGTGGCCTCTGCCAGTGGGGCTGGGAGTGGAGTTTCAGGTGCTGCACTGGAGACCTCCCCAGGGCCTACTTTCCGTCTTGACCCTGTGTTCTGAGGTGACAGTCGTGTGTCATCTTCTAGCCCTCAGCCACTGCCTAGGACTTAAACCAACCAACAGTGTCGCATGTGCGTCTTTAAGAAGACACTTTGTATCTTGGCTATTGATGTTTTAACATTTTACCCAGTATTCATAACTCTAAACAAAATTATTATTCTCACCTCAATGCCATACTAATTGGCCACAGTTTGTGCCCTGTTTCATGACCAGGTCATAGCTGCTTTCTCTCTTTTGAAATGTCAGTCCTAAGTGAAGTTGAGTCTGCATAGCTGGTGGTCTGGTAACAATCCCACAGGGACTACACAGACACCACCAGTTTGAGAGCACCTACTAAAATCCACCAGTACCACCACCACCACCACCTGGCTTTACAGCAGAGTCACGTCGAGGTCACACAAGGAGCCACCAGCAATGTTTCTGAACTTCTACACATCTCTGGACAATCCGGCTATGTCCATGCTGGTGAGCTCCGCCCCCTCTCTGGGCCTCAGTTTCCTCATCTGTAAAATGGGGAGCTAGGAATGGCATTCTCTACAGGGCCCCACAGCAACAGGACTGGCCTCCTGAATCATCTGATGGTGCTGTTTTCAGAAGAGACTTCATGTCAAGCATCTCCTGGGCTCTAATTCTCCAGAAGGTGTGGCGTACTCACCCTGCTCTTCCGTTGGCCAGACTGGTACAGGTACCTGGCCAGGAGCACACTCCTACCCAGGGAAGCACAGCTTGTGAATCTGCTCCTGGGTTTCTGCACTTTTACCCTCCCTCCTGATTATATACACTAGCACAGGAAGGAACAGAATTCACCACATAGCCCGCCACATCATCTTACAGAACACTGAGCTCAAAGGGGTTTTATGAGCAGTCAGATGGAGGACAGAAGTGTAAATGCAAATCCAATTTATAGTTTTCACTTATTCCTTCTTGTACTTGCACATGGTTTGCAAGAGACACTCAGACCAGAAGAGAACCAGAATAAAGGCCATTCAATCAGCAAACATTTAGGAGCTAAAATATGCCTATTTTAGGTAATGAAAATAACCATCAGATTAACATAACAATAAAAAAATTAAAACAAAAAAGAAAATAACCATCAGGCTCTGCACTCACACAGTAAATGCTTGTTGGGCAGAGGAACAGAGAGTGCACAAATAAGTGAACAAGAATTTGAAGTTAACAAACAGGACATGAAAAGAAAGCATGACTGTGAATGGGGGGCTACCCTAGACACTTGGCCCTTTGTGCTCGTGTATCGATGTCTCACTGCACCATAATATCAACATCACAGAACGGTGCAGTCACTCACCAGAGCATCCCTAGCACCGCAACAGTGCCTGGCACGCAGCAGACACTGAGTAAGTACTGAGGAAATGAGCGAATGGGTGACATTCTACAGTAACTGCCTGGCCACTGTCATGCGTGAGCTCATGTCTGTCAATGCTTGTGTCTTCCCGCCTTCTGCAGACACATAGGAAGCAACTGATGTGTGGCAGGCAGTGTGACAGGAACAGAACTGGAGAAGCAGGGCCCCTCTCTGAGGTGCTGACATTTTAGCGAGGAAGTGAGACAGAAAATGAATGAAGAAAGAGGATGATTACAGATTTTCACAAGTGCTCTATAAGGAAAACAGGTGCACGGCGCAGAAGAGCGCGGTGGCAGCTGGGGAGAAGGGCGGAGGATGGAACGTGTGCAAGGGCCACCTGCAGAGATGAAACTGAAGTTAAAACCTGAGCCTTGCTCCCCACCATGACTGCAGACTCCAGATCCCACCACAAGCCCATATGCAAGCCATGCTTGAGAAATGTTTAAAGACTAACTGAATGAGTAAGTGAATGAATGAATGGATGGATGGATGAAGAAATGAAAGTGTCTACTAAGCAAAGGCCAGTTCTTTAAACAAGCAGAGGGAAGAGATGTGGAGTCAGCAGCTCGCTCTGGCACACACACCCTGCCTAAGAGTAGGACTCATCATCCTCCCTGCCCACCTTTAAGGTGCATCTTGGTAACCCAACAGGCTTTCCCCCAGTCCCTGGCAGGATATATGAGGCTCCACCATTAGTGCTCCCATCTTTCACATCTCAAGGAATTGCAACACAAAGAGCTGAGAGCAGAGCACCGAGGAAGGGGGATGGAGCAAGCCAGGAGGGGGTGGTCACTGGGGTGGGCGCACAGCTCACCGAGGGCAAACGCGGCGAGGAAGGCGGTGATGACGCTGCTGGCACACAGCAACTCCACCTTTGCCACGTCTAACTCCTCCCTAGACACAGCGCCCAGCAGCAGGGCGGCCACGGCAGCCAGGAGCCCCACGACGGTGGCCTGCACCTGTCAGGGCAGAAATCAGAAACGTGAGGAAAGGTGCCACTGACCACCATCACTCCTCCCTGCCTTTCACTCTGCCTCCTCTCTGACCTTGAGAGGTCAGTATGTCACTCACCACTACCTCTCGTCCCTTACCCTAAAGTCTGCCAACGGCCCCTCCAACCTGGGAAAAACAAAGACTAACACCTTGCTTCAATCCAACTCCCTTGAAAACTGCTGTTTTCCTGTTCTGCAACTAGCTCAATGCCATCTTGCTTCACGAAATCTTCATCTTCTACTCGGCCCTTGGCCAAGGGCCACCAGTCTCTTGCTTGTAGCTCCTCCCACGGCTCTAGGCAAAAGTGCTCTCCAGCTATACAGACAACCAATCTCCCCTGCAATGTGGAAACACTCCATGATCCACAGCTACACCTTGGAAGCCTCTGTGTACAATTTCCATCTTTCTCCCTGCCTTCCTTCCTTGGCACTTGCTCTGCATGCTGGTGCCCCCTTTCTCTACATTCTCCCCCATCCCAGCTGCAGTTCCCATTTCATCTTGGTGGGGACACATCTCTGCTGCTCACTCAGGCCAGTACCATGATGTGTCCAGGTCTGAGTATCAATACTGGCACCTGTTATCAGTACACTTGACCCTTCAACAACACAGGCATTGGTGTGCCGATGCAAGTGAAAACCTGTGTATAACGTGCGACTCCCCCAGAACTTTACTAATAGCTTACTGTTGACTGGAAGTCTTACCCATAACATAAAGTCGATTAACACCATATTTTGTATGTTATGTTTATTATATACTGTATCCTTACAATTCAGTAAGCTAGAGAAGAGAAAATTAAGAAAATCATAAGGAATCATACATTTACAGTACTGTATTTATTGAAACAAATCTGCATAGGGGCAGATCTGCCCAGTTCAAACCTGTGTTGTCCAAGGGTCAACTGCAATTCAAATGTCTTAATGGAAATGGAAACATGTTGTGTTATTAAAGAAGGCTGAATAAACAGAGAACTTTACCATATACATGGATGAAAAATGCTCCCCAAGTTAACCTATATAATTCCAATCAAAGTCCCAACAAGCTTCTTCATGGCACTTGACAACTTATCTTAAGTTTCACAAAGATGAGTAGATGTGCAAGAATAGCCAAGACAATTTGAGAAAAAAGATCAAGAGGGAGTTTTGGCACATTCATTATCAATACATAGTTTTAAGGCTATAGTAATTAAAACATGGTGGTATTGGCAGAGAAATAGACAAATAGATCAGCAGGACAGACTGGTGTCCAGGAATAGTATCATGAATATATAAAAATTTAATATATAAAAATTTAATAAAGATAAAGGTGGCATTTCAAATCAGTATGGATACTGAATAAACAGGGAAAGAGAAAGCAGGCATCTGTCTGGGGGGAGAAAATATATTTCTACTTTATACCGTGCGTGCACACACACACACACCACTAAACATAAAACCTCAAGTGTAAAACAGGAGAAAATATAGAAAAGTATGTTTCAGATTTTGGATTAGAAAGGGACTCCTTCTGAAGATATAACATGTAAAATCTATAAAGAAAAATAGAGATAAATGTATATAACTCCAAGTATGACTTCTATGCGATACCAGAAATTCAAAGATGGAGAGACAGCTGGAGAAAATATCTCCAGCATTTACAACTAATAAAGTGTTAGTGATCAAAATAACAAACCAATGGCAACTTTTTAAAAAAGACAACCTGAAAGAAAAATGTACAAGGGGTATGGATGGACAATTCACAGAAAAGGAAATACAAATGGCTAAGAAACACACAAAAATGTGACCAACTTCCTGAATAATCAGGAAAATTTAAAATAAAATCCCAATTTGATAGTAGGTATCTTATTTCTTTGTAACTGATGTTGGTCTTCCTCTACTAAAAGGTCAGTGCCATCTCTGCAGGCGCTCAGCCCTCATCTGTGCTCATCCAATCAATGAATGAATTAATGGATGGGATATACTATTTTTATCCATCAGACTAGGTAAAATTAAAATTTAAAAGGCCAATAACATGAGATACACATTGACAAATATATGGGAAAATGGTTCTCTTATACATAGATGTGATAAAATTGGTACAAGAATTTGGGGGAAGGGGATTTGGTTACTTTATGATCTAGCATTTTCCCAGGAATACATTTGCACATGTGAACAAAGAGCCACAAAATAATGATAATGATGACTGGAGCTGATATTTACTGAGTGCTTACTATCTGCTATTCTCAGTGATTTTCATTCGTTAAGTCACTCTTAAAAGTACAAGTAACAGAATTATATGTCCAGTACAATACTTCTAATGCTTAAAAAACACAAAGTTGTATCATATATTGTCTATGGACACATACATATATATGGCAAATGCAGAAAGTCATTCAGAAGAATACTTTCAATGCTGGTGAGGTTATGGAGAAATTAATAACTGAAATATTAATACTGGTCTATTATTTGATACTAAGAATTCAAGTATTTTATAATCCCTTTGGAAAAAAATCTAGAACTTCAAATTGTTCATACCTTGTGAACTTGTGGGAACTTCTCTTAAGAAATTCATGCAAAAGAGAATAATTTCATTGCAGTATAATTTATCGAGTAGAAGCATACGAACAATTGCAGGTGCACACTCGTGGTGACAGTTGAAAGAAGTGGAACAGGGCTGAGTCTGGACAGTTGGCATTGGCCCTGCCAGACCAGCTCTTTGTGCTTAGGCCCTACCAGTTGTTAAATATCACTCGGGTATATTTGTGATAGAATACAAAGTTATTAAAAAGTTCAATTATGAAATTTATTGTACCACTTGTGATTCAATGTTAAGCTTTTTAAAAAATGGGGGAGAAAAAATTATATCCATGCTATGATCAGGACAATGTGCCAAGCCAGTGCCTGGCCCAGAGTGGGACTTAATGAATGTTTGTTGAGAATCAATCATGTGGAAATGTGCATGCATATGGACAAGGACTTGGTGACTTGTAGCTGAGGCATTTATAACCTGCCCCTTGTCAGACCCTCTGTTAAGGGCATCACGAGCATCTCATTTAATCTCCAAAGCTCTTCAGCCACAGGCCGGGGTCCTGGCCTATGTGACTCAGCTCAAGTGGGGAAGGCAGACATCTAAACACAGAACTGCAACCAGGGCAGCCCCAGCAGCTTGTACAAGGCCCCAGAGAGTACCCGGTATCGGGCTGGAACTGACTGGAGCTTCACTGCCAGGAGAACAGGAAGAGAAAGGACATTCCAAGGAGAGACAACCACATATGCAAAGGCAGCGGGGATGGGGGACAGGAGACTGCAGGAGGACAGGACCAGACCAGGAGTGCCTCTGGGCTAGGCCCACACTTGGACAAGAAGAACCAACAAAGGAACCTCAGGAGGAGGATGCCTGATCAGCTTTAGGATTTAGAAAAGGTCACTCAGGTGGCCATGCAGAGGAGAGCCAGACAGGAAGAAGCATGGGGCAGTGAGAACAGTGAAGAGGTTTGTCATCAGTGAGGTCAGAGACCAAGAGGCCAAGGCAAGGAGGAGGAGAAGCAGGGCTGATTCAAGCACAGCTCAGATGCAGACTCCTCAGGACTGGACAGAAGGATAAGGAGCAGAGAAATGCTGAGGGTGACCTGGTGTCTAGCTTGATTAATGGGCACAGTGACCATGATTGGGAGATTACCACGTGCTAGCCAGGTGTCACAGTCTTCCATGATTGAAACCTCACAATGGCCCATCTTATAGATAAGGTGAGGTGACTTGCCCAAGGGCCTCCAGCTGGTCAACCCCCAGAATGAGCTTTCAACCATCAAACTCTTCAGGGTTGGGGACTTCACAAGAAGTGAGTGTGAGGAGAGGAAGTGATGAGGCCAGATCTGGCTAAGCTGTTTTGCGGATGCTTCTGGTGCAGGTAGATGGAGATACCCAGTGGAGAGCTAGAAACAGGGGCTCTGGAACCCAGGTAAGAGTTAAAGTGGGTATCCTCCTAATTTGATGGACAGGGAAATACAGCTAAGCAAGTCTTGTGTGTCCTGCCCAAAGCCACCCAGTTGATAAATGATAGCCTTAACTCCAGGCCTGTCTGATCTCAGAGTCCAGGTTCTTTGTGTGGCCATAGGTTGCCCCCAGCCAGAGAAGCCCAGAAGGTTCTGGATGAAGCCACTTCCTCTCTTACCTTGAGCCAATCTCTTCCCAGTCTCTCCCTGCCCTGGGCCTCCTGACTCTCTAATACTCTGAGACTCCTAGGATGAGAATTTAGCCCAACTAGGGTCTGCTAGAAGGAGGTACAAATTTGAACGAGCATGAAGCATTTAAGGGACAAAGGCAAGGGGGGCGGGGTGTCCTGCAAAGTCTGCACGTGGCGGGAGTGCAGCCACAGAGGAACCTCCAGGCAGAAAGAATAGCAGATGCTCCAGAGAGAATAAGTAGGATCACACGTATGAGGCAATCAGAGGGTATACCAATTAGGATGTCAGTGACCTTGGCAAGCACAGCTTGAGTCAAGATAGTGGGAAGAGAAAGCTGTCAGCTCTGTCCAGGCTATGAGAAAGAGGAGCGAGCAAGTATAGGTGAATCTTTCAATAAGCCTGTCTTGAAAAGAAGGGGCTGGGGGCGCTGGAGGGACCTTGGGTTCTCAGAAGAGGCATCTACTTTCAGTTGGACATGCTAGTGCCCTATAGTTGGGCTGAGCCTCCAGCTGCCATATGAGTGTGGTCTGGTGGGTGCAGGGTGGATAGGTGGCCCATTCCCCAAGTTCAGTCCGGAGTGCAGGGACAAAAGCTTACTTAGTCTTCAGCCTTCCTACTTGGAGCAGGCCTGGCTGCAGATTCAAAAGCAGGGAGGAGATTCAGCGATCGGACAAAGGGGAAAGTCACCTGAATGAGGGCGAGGTTACTGCTGATAACTCTGTGCTGCTCCTGGGGATCATCAATTTGTCCAGTGTTGGCCTAGGATGGAGAGAAAAGGAAAAAGGGTAAGCCTGGGTGGTCACAAAGCCAGGCCAAGCCTTCCCAGAAAAGGCAGTCTCTCAGGACAGAAATTAGCAAATATCATTTCATTGATGTTAGAACAAATTATTCTGCCCAGCTTTCAAAACTGACTGGGGGTGGGAAAGGTAAGGACCCAAGTCCCTTTGAGAATAAGATAGTGTCATAGACCATCTCTCCCATGCTCAAGTATGCAAGCACACAGAGGTAAGTGTCACCAACAATTTCAGGGCCACCTGACTCTAAAGCTCAGCCACAGGCAGCATGGGAAGGACTCCTGTTGGGAAGCTGGCTTGTGCCCTCAGCCAAGTCTTTGGCCTTGTTGTCCCCAATACCTACAATTCCTTACTCCCCCTTCCAGCAAGTCACATCTCAGATGACCACTAACCACCCCAACATGACCTCTGCAAATCATCCTATTTAACAAATGCTCAAGTCCTTCTCTTAGGATTAAAAAACAAGATCTGAAATATGATTTTCTCCTTTAAAAATGGTAATCAGCTCCTAACTTCATAGTACTTGCCAGCAAAATTCAAGATGTAGATAAATATATTTTCCTAGCTCCTTTGCACTGAGTTCATTAAGTTCCTGAACTTGAAGGGAAAAATGGAATTACTTTTCATGAACAAATAAGGGGATGCTTTTGTTTTCAGCATGATGGACACCTTGGATGCAGCATGGAACAATCATAGAGCCCCAGGTGACTCCTCCTTCACAAAGGTAGACTAATACCCACCTAAGGGGTGCTCAGGAACTAAGGTGGAGCAGAACACAGTTACACAGCCTGCCATGCCAAATATGTGAGGCCAACAGGCTCATTGCCCCTCTCTGCTTCTCAATGCACTAGTGCTCACTGGACTCAATGTGCCCATTTGCTGTTTCCTATCAATCAGCCAACTCGAACCCTGGTACTCATCAGATAAGGAATACTACTGGCCCATGACCCCTGAGTATGAATTAGAAAGGCATTCCTTCCTCAAGATGTTGTATTTCCAAGCTGAGGCTGAACAGGAAAGGGAGTGATGCCAAGAGGTGCAGGAGGAGGAGTGGTGGGCTGGGGAGCTTGAAGACCTTGTAGAGATGAGGGAGGAAGAGCACCAGAGGGAAGGAAGCTGTGAGAAGAGGTGGGATGTGAAGTCAATAGGATTTTGGAGCATGTGTAAGCATTTCAAGGACAGGTGAGGGGCCTGGGCAGCTGAGGTGGAATGGAGGTGAAGGTCACTGGAGATGAAGCCATCCAAAATTGGGAGGCTTGGGTTTGGGATGAGTTATCCATGTGGATGCTGAGACAGTGTAGGATGGTGGTGGGATCTGGTGTGAAGATCATTAAATGGTTCATTTTCCAGAACTGTGGGGAACTGACCAAGCCAGTAAAAGGTAGGGAAGGAAGCAGGGCAAGACAGTGAGGACCAGGCCAGCAGGATAAACCACGGGGAGGGCGCCCTGGGGGACAGGTCTCCATCAAGGTAGATGGACACTGCTCTACTCTGGAATGGCAGTCCCAGAGATGTAGGGTAAGAGCTGGAGCAACAAAGCCAGTCCAAGGACAGGCTCGGTGGCTTTTTGCTAAGAACGCAAAAAGAAAATCAGTGGGAAGGTGGGGCATCTATTATAGAGTCCAACTTAGGGAGTCCCGCATCGGGCTCCCTGCTCAGCAGAGAGTCTGCCTCTCCCTCTGCCTCCCCCTCTGGCTTGTGCTCTCTCTCTTGCTTTCTCTCTCTCAAAGAAATAAATAAAATCTAAAAAAAAAGGTAATGAGACTTCCATCAGTAACACTGAGCACAAGAAGACACTGAAAATATACCTCAGTACTGAAGAAAAATAACTATGAACCATGCATTCTCTAAGCAACCAGGCTGGCATTCAAATGTGAGGATAAAATAAAGCACTGTCAAGCCGCAATTGTCCAAAAAGTTTACTTCCAACAAATCTTACCTGAAACAATTACTAGAAGACACACTAAAGTAAAACGAAAAGTGAATTTAAAAGAAAACTGAGGGAGAGTGGTATCAGCAAGTTGGAAGACTAGGAAGCTCCAGGCCCTCTTCCTCCAATGAAAACACCAAGTAAACAACAGACTGACCAAAACAGCTTTGTGAGAGCTCTAGAAACCAGTCATGGATCTGTAAAACCAAGTGAGCGCTCAACCAAGAAAAACCCACACTCAAAACAGTAGACAATTCCAGTGTTTTTGCTTATCCTTGCCGCATTCCCTCCTCTGTACAGAGTAGTAGTGTTTGGTCCCTCTCTCAGGACAGAAGGGAAACAGTAGAATAGTCTGCACCATCCTGACTTGCCTGGAGGCTACCTGAGGGACTGGTTTCTATTTTGCCTGACTTGGAGATCAGAAGGAGGAGGGTGGCATAGTTTGGATATCAGTTTGCAGGCCACCAAAACCAGTGGTGGGTGCTGGATACAGTACAGCCGCAGGGAACTGCAGGCCCATGTGTGCCTCGAGCAAAGAATATGGTCAGATGAATACAATAATACATCTAAGGCCCCAAGGAGAAGCAGGGCTGAGCTTTTTAGGTTAATCAAGACATTTAATAGCAGCCCTGTGTGCTGAATTGGGGTGGAAAGAAAAGCACATACACAGGCCCAGGGAAGACACATGCCCAGAAAAGGCCTGAAAAGACTTTAAGCCTTCACACCAGACTGATTAGTGAAGGTCTTCCTCTTCATGGAGCAAGTCTGCAAAGACTGGGAGAGGTGGCTATTTTCTCAAATGCCATTTTTTTTTTTTTGACAAAGATGACAAGGCAGACAAAGAAACAGGGAAACATGGTCCATTCAAAAGAACAAGATAAGTCTACAAAAACTAACCCTAAAGAAACAAAAGATTAGAACTTACCTGAAAAAGCCTTTAAAACAACTGTGTTAAATATGCTTAATGAACTAAAGGAGTACATGGATAGACATCTAAAGGGAATCAGGAAAAGATGTATGAACAAAATGAGAACATCTACAAAGAGCAATTACACATCTCTAGGAATGCATCCATTTCTTCCAGATTATCTAATTTGCTGGCATAGAGTTGCTCATAATATGTTCTTATAATTGTTTGTATTTCTTTGGTGTTGGTTGTCATCTCTCCTCCTTCATTCATGATTATTATTTATTTGGGTCCTTTCTCTTTTCTTTTTGATAAGTCTGGCCAAGGGTTTCTCAATCTTGTTAATTTGTTCAAAGAACCAGCTCCTAGTTTCATTGATCTGTTCTACTGTTCTTTTGGTTTCTATTTCATTGATTTCTGCTCTGATCTTTATT